TCCTTTCCTTCTTAGGCACATCCATTTTCATGATTTGCCTTCTTAGTTCATAAGTCTTGAGATTTTCAATCAACTCGTCTAAAGGAAGTGTAGCAATATTCTTTGATTCTTAAATGACAGTGATCTTACTTTCCTATGTAATTGGTAAAACCGTGGTTAGTATCTTCTCAATCCTTTCATCTTCAGGAATAATTCTTCCAAGAGACTTTAGTTCATTGGTCAATTTAGTGAACCTTGTGTATATTTTCTGAATGGTTTCTCCATCTCTCATGGAAAAGTTTTCATATTGAGAAACAAAAAGGTTCCTCTTGATCTTTTCACTTGAGTTGTTCCTTCATGGGCCACCTGTAGTGTGTCCCAGATTTGCTTGGCAGTGGAGCAGCCTTGGATTCGACTATACTCATCTAGACTAAGTCCACACATAAGCCATTTCTTGGCTTTGGCATACTTCTCCCAATTTTTCAAGTCCTCAGCATTGCAATCAACTCTTGTCTTTGGCACATCTTCTCCTTCAGCATTTGTTTTCAAAGTAGGCAGTGAACCATTAGTAGTTATGTCCCATAGCTCGTAGTCTTTTGCCTGTATGTGATCTCTCATCCTTGTTTTTACCAAGAGTAGTACTGGCCATTGAAGAGTGGTGGCCTAGCAGTGGATTGCCCTTCCCAATTTTCAGGTGGTGTACTCATCTTGATCTTTTCATAAGGTGTTAGCCTCTTCAAGGATAACCCGCTCTGATACCAATTGATGTTTTGTAATTCAATACCATACAAGAGGGGGGTGATTTGTGTGGTGTCCAATTTTCGTGTGCGCTGGTTTATGGAAGGACCTGGTTCTTCTATGCGTTCCTTACACTACTGTTGCGGAATAAATAAAGCAGAAAATAAAGAACACAAGTATTTTTACGTAAAAAATACCTGGCTCAAAAGGTGAAAGTACCACGACCTACTTCCAGTAGGATTTTTTCCAACCTCCACTAAAACTCTGAGCCAAACAACAATATTTACAAAACTCTTGTAAACCTAAGGATTACCTCTAACCCTTGTAGCAATCAGCCACATGCTATTGCAACTGCTTCAAGTTAATTCTAACTTGAACAATACAACTCAAAGTACCTAGTACAAATGCTTCTAATAAAAGCTGAAAGGTAAAACTCAAAAGCCCTACTACTATTGAACTAGAATAAAAGATAGACACATGGAACTGGTTCTTCTATCTAGTTCATGTAGCCTGAGGTTCACACTCCTGTAACACATAGGAATTGCTTGCAAAATGCCTTGTTATTTTGCTCTGAATTCTTTCTTAACTTCCACGTTTGTGCGTCACCTGTAAAAGAGAACACAACTGAAATATATAGAGTTCTTAGAATTAGGATTAACTGGAGTTCTAATGCTTTACTCTTCCTTAGTGGAAGATTTCTAGTTAACTTCAATCTCTAACTCTTTCTTTATCTAGGATAGAGTTCTCTTAAAGTAAGAGGTCATGCTCATTATCAATTATGCACCCTTTTCATTTAGGGAATATCAAATATAACCATTTATACTTATCCATTGCACATGCATGCCTTTTGCTTAAATCTGATCTCGATCAGTATACATTGTCCATGGACCTGATTCATGCATATGTTCCTTTGTCAATCATAATTAAAACCACTCAGGCCAACAATATTCCTAATATTCGGGGACAATGACAGAACCATTTCTCAATTTATTTACTATTATAGTAAAAGAATAAATGCAACATTTAATTGTTCCATGTTACTTCGATGTTACCATTTCCGAATGCCTAAGATGTTGTCTTGGCGACAATGCTTTTTTCCATTTGATTATTTTTCGTTATTGCTACAACAAAACCCAATCAGTCAATATTTGCAATGACTTTGATGAGCTACTATCAGAGGTGTTATTGGATCTTTAAAATCAACCGAATTATCGAACCAATTATTATATTTCTTTTAATAAAATGGTAGATTTTTATATGAATCTATAATTGTTAATTTTATAAAAATAAATCAATAAAATATCGAATCATACCGAATAAATTTATATATAAAAATATATTTTATATATTAAGAGTAAAAATAATATAGAATTAAATTTTGGGATTATGAAACGGTTACAAGCCAACATGTAATTAATCCCAAATTACCAACTCCTATACTTATTCTCCTACTCATATTGAAATAAAATTAGTTTTAGCATCTTGAATAACAAGCCACAAGGTATTCTAGCGACCTTAAGTAGCAAGTTATAGGGTAATAATTAATAGTGGGATAGATCTCTATTCTTGTATCTTTTAAATAGTAAAAATGTCTAGAGAATTTTGCCGCGGTGATATGCAAGTATACGTGTTATTGTGTTCTAATTTTTACAAGTGATTCTTACACAATGTATTTAAAAACTATAAAAAATTAACCAAACCTCATAAATACCGGAGAGAAACCAAGTAATTGAAACGGTTTCAAAAAGTTTTATTTTGGTAATACAAAATAGAGTAATTAAAAATTAGTATAATATAAATTTTATAAAATAACCCATACACCTACTAATATACTTTGTTGAACTTTGTAGTCATTGCTTGAGATTGTGATGTTTCAGAAAAATGCAAGTCAGAAAACCCATGCTACATTCTAACTTGGATAAAATGAGGTGGAGATATAAGTGATAAGAGCAAAATACGTAAGAACACTAGATTGTAGAAACAAATAAAGACAAGATGAGAAAGAAAAGAATATATAGGACAACTGATCACGGGAAGAAGATAAGTAAATTAGGCAATCAATACATAGTTGAGGCAATCAATACATAGTTGTTGCAGCCAACTGCCACCTACACTACTTTTCCCAAGAATCAATGGTCAAAAATTCTCTTGCCCAATGAAATGATCTTCAAACTGTGGGCTTGAGAAAAAACTATGTTCACTTGGATATTCTTTGGATATATTATATATTCTTTTACCATATATTAACACATTATATATTGGCCCTGATTTCCTTTCCTTTTACTTTGTAACGTAAGCTTCAAAGTTTCAATCTACTATACAATTAAAATAGGAAGCATTGAAAATGATTTATGCCAAAATTAAAGATCTCTTTTATTGACAATAAAAAGATTTCTCAAACACAAAGATCTATGAAGACAAAAACTTGTCGAAAGTAGAGAGACCCGAAAACAAAAAAACTTTAAAAACTGAAAAATTGAAAGACGCCATAGAAAGTCTAGTCAGCTCTAACAAAGAATTTTCCCCTTGGCCTTATCCACTACTTTAAACTTCCATTATTTGGCCCCACCAAATGTGGCGCCTCTCCGCGGTTGACAATAAACAACGATTTCTCGAAAACACTTATAAAATTTCTCTCGTTTGAACAAGGGAAAATTCTATTATGCGACTGATCCTAAAATCACGCAGATAAAACAAGATCTCCAATCGAGCACACTAGTCACAAATTGTGATCACGAACAACGTTAGCATACTACCTTAGTAATGCGACCGAGCGCGAAATCAATCCAGCGGGACAAGACCTCCGACTGATAATGAATGATATCTTGGTCAATACAATCATGGCACCACTAATTTGTATATTTTGTCAATCCACGTTCAATGTCATCAAGAGGGGATATAATTTAGAGAAAATAGGATTGACAATTTTATATATATATATATATATATATATATATATATATCTAATTATGAGTTGTTAAATGGTAAGATGAATAAATATTCTCAATTGAAAGGGATGTTCCTAAAGGGACCATTGAATTCCTAATTGGAATTAGGGGATCTTTTTTAATTGATTCTTTTATCGCACTGTTGAATGGCCCCATTCGAGAATAATTGGCTGCTGATAAAATTATCAACAACTGACATTCCTTATTTTTATTTAACAACGTATGAATAGTTCCTTGAGGTTGGTTAAGAGATTGTTGAATATATATATGTCATGCAGTCGCATTGAGGAGTTTACCTTCATAACAACTTTAGCACGTTTTGGCAAAGATTTGGATCCTACACAATTCCAGAATGTTTTAATTTTTGATAACCCTCCATCTTTTGTATTACCGCACTTACTTTCAGACTCGCAGGGGACTATACATTCAGTTCCCTCTTTATAAATTTTTATTTCAGTCAGCAATAGATAAAATGCCTGTTATTAGCAACAAAAAAAACTCACAAATGTCAATTAGGCTCGCTTGTAAATAAACCCCTTAACTTAGAGAATGAGCAAGATTTTACACACTAAGCGCATTTCTTACTTATATCAAGCTTTCTTTTACGTCTTTTATTGTTAAATTAATTTATCTCTTGATTTTTTACTCACTTGACCGTTGAAATATATTCTACACAATTATATAGAATGAGGTGGACATAAGTGATAAGACCAAACTATAGTAATAATGGCATAATAAGAAGAGGAAATAGTAGGACTACTGATAAAGGAAAAAGGATAAAACACCTAGGCAACCAAGAGATACTTTCCCCCGTGACATTAATTTTTCAAACCATGGCAATTGGATATGCTTTGGATATATTCCCTTGCCAGATATTCATTTCCTATTGACCTTTCTTTCCTTTTTTTTCCTGCCCTTTTTCTTGGTAAGATAAGTTTAAACGTTTTATTCAGATCTCAACAATAACTAAAGCAGGAAACATTGAAAATAATTTATCACTCATTTGCTTCACAATGCCAATATATATAAAAAAGACTTAGCTTCTTACTTGATCACAATAAACAAAGACCTGTACCAATAACTATGACTTTTTTTTCTGTTTTTACATAGTGCGAAACCATGTAAATCTAGTCAGCAAAGACGGAGACAATTGCTCTATGCCTTATCCACTATTCTTTTAACCTCAATTATTTGCCCCCACTAAGCTGTGGCGCCTCTCCGCAGCATCTTACAACCAAACTGCACATGTTTTTATAGGGTTTCCTCTAAGGTAACCTCAGCTCACCACTCAAAACTTTCCTCTCTTTTGCTTTACTGTTTCTTGAACTCAAAAATATGCCTTCACTTCTTCAAATTTTCCTTCCTTTGTTTCCATTCTTTTTCTTGGTTTCTTTCTCAGTTTCTCACGGACCCTTTTTGCCAAAGGCCATTATTCTTCCTGTAAACAAAGATCTGTCAACTTTTCAGTATGTTACTCAAGTTTACATGGGTGCTCATCTTGTTCCTACCAATTTAGTTGTAGATCTTGGAGGTTCATTTCTCTGGACTAATTGTGGCTTAACTTCTGTATCTTCAAGTCAGAAACTTGTCCCCTGTAATTCACTCAAATGCTCAATGGCTAAACCTAATGGTTGCACTAACAAGATTTGTGGTGTACAATCAGAAAATCCTTTTACAAAAGTGGCTGCAACAGGGGAATTAGCAGAGGACATGTTTGCTGTGGAATTCATAGATGAGTTAAAAACAGGTTCAATTGCTTCAATACATGAATTCTTGTTTTCTTGTGCATCAACTACTTTGTTGCAAGGTCTTGCTAGAGGTGCCAAAGGAATGTTAGGACTTGGAAATTCAAGAATTGCATTGCCATCTCAGTTGTCTGATACATTTGGTTTCCAGAGGAAATTTGCTCTCTGTTTGTCTTCTTCAAATGGTGCTATAATATCTGGTGAAAGTCCTTACTTGTCACTTTTGGGTCATGATGTTTCAAGATCTATGCTTTATACACCTTTGATTTCATCTAAAGATGGTGTTTCAGAAGAGTATTATATCAACGTTAAATCCATCAAAATTAATGGCAAGAAACTGTCGTTAAACACATCTTTGTTTGCAATGGATGAAGGTGTTGGAGGGACAAAGATTAGTACAATTCCCCCTTTTACCACCATGAAAAGCTCAATTTATAAGTCATTTATTGAAGCTTATGAGAAATTTGCTATTTCCATGGAATTGAATAAAGTGGAAGCTATAGCACCATTTGAGCTTTGCTTTAGCACAAAGGGGATAGATGTCACAAAAGTGGGGCCAAATGTGCCAACTACGGATCTTGTGTTGCAAAGTGAAATGGTTAAGTGGAGGATTTATGGGAGAAATTCAATGGTGAAAGTAAGTGATGAAGTGATGTGTTTGGGATTCTTGAATGGAGGGGTGAATCAAAAGGCTTCAATTGTTATAGGGGGTTACCAGTTGGAGGATAATCTTTTGGAGTTTAACTTGGGAACTTCTATGCTTGGATTTACTTCTTCACTTTCAATGGCAGAAACAAGCTGTTCTGACTTTATGTTCCATTCTGTATCAAAAGATTCAGCTTTTGATTCTTGACACCAAATCCTTAACCCAAGATTTTGAATTGTGGATTCCAACTTGTCCAGATACAATTCCCTTTGTATAGTTGTCTAAGAACATGTATTGGCTCCTATACATAATGATGACTTGGCCAATCTTAGGGTGTAACTAGTTTATTGGTGAGGAAGAGATTCTTGGTTTTGGTTATGACTTGAGTGTTTTTTGACTCCCTTTTGAGAAAATTTTGAATGTAATATCTATTTTTCAAGTTCCTGATTAAAGAATGTATTAGTTCTCATCTTCTCTATGTTACTTTGCTTTTAGTTTGTTGTACTGTTCCGTCGTAGTGTAATATTTTGGAAAAGGACAATGGATAAGGACGATCAACAACGCGACCAAAGCAACTGGACTCCATAGTCGGATTAGGCTTTTGCTTCTTGTTAGATTCCAAAAGATTTGGGCTTCTGCCTGATGCTAGCGATGGCGTAGTCCAAATTTTTATGTGAAAATAGCATGACCTAGCGGTTTTTGTACTAATAATTGAAAAATAGCTAGTGTTTGTAAAGTTATTAAAAAAATAATCATTATTTTGCTGCAATACAAAAAGTTTCAAAATAATATAATGGAGATTGATGCACCTGTGTATGAACTTTCAGCATATTATGCTGGAATTTTAACAGACGAAAAGTTCCAGTATAATATATTGGATATTATATTGAACCAGTATATATTGCTGGAACTTCAGTATATTATGCTTGAAGTCCAGTATATTATGCTGGAACTCCAATATATTACGCTGGAATATTTTCTGAATTTTGAACAATATTTTCGTTCAAATTTATCTTTACATAAAAAGTGACTAAATTTCAATTACTTTTAAAATTATGACTATTTTTCAATTATCAACTTTAAATCTTGTTATTTTTTAATTTCATCCATTTTTTATTGGATGGTAGCCCCTTATTCATGGGTTAAAAGAGAAAGAGTTGTTTGCTGAATCTCTTTGGCTTCATAGTTTGGTTGGAGGTTGGGTTTTCTTTTTGGGTGGGTGGGNATTGAAAAGTTAGTTTGATAGAAAACTACAACTTTAGATTTTGACTATTTAGATAAATTTGAATTCTTATGTAGCTCGTGAAAGTTGTTCAATGTTAAGGCGGAGTTTCTTTTCAAGGAATGTTAAGGAGGAGTAAAAGTTAATTTAAAATATTATTAAAATGTTTGTGTGTTAGAGGGTGCTGTGTAAATATTTGGTGAAGAAAAGTTAATTTAAAATATTATTACTAATGAATTTAACTTGAAACTAAAGGCATGCTACTCGCTAAGTAAGATAATTTGATGGTGTAAAATTTCTTTGACATTATCAGTGTGTAAAAGTTGAAATTATTACTAACAAATAGTCTCACACATTTCTACAACAAAAAGAATGTTATATACCCGGCTAGTCATTTTGAGAATTAAAGTCTCGTTCGGCAGTATAAGGTCTTGAGCAGCTTCGTATTTTATGTATTGACTTGCGTGTGTGGTCGAGTTCTATTACCGGATGATTCAGAGTCAAATCAGAAGAAGGATTCTAGTTTGGAAGCTTAAGCGGTAAGAGTTGACCAGAATTTGACTTTTGTGTAAACGGCTCCGGAAGGGTTTTGGATGATTTCAACAGCTTCGTATGGTAATTTTGGACTTAGGCGTGTGTCCAGATTTGGATTTGGAGGCCCGTAGGGTGATTTGAAGCATTTCGGCGAAAGTTGGAAAAGTTGAAGTTTGGAAGGTGGAGAGGTTTGACCAATAGTTGACTTTGGTGATATCGGGGTCGGAATGCGATTCCGAGAGTTGGAACAGCTCCGTTATGTCATTTGGGACTTGCCTGCAAAATTTGACGTCATTCCGGGTTGATTTGATAGGTTTCGGCATGAATTTTAGAACTTGGAAGATTTGAAAATTCATAAGTTCGATTATGGTGCGATTCATAGTTTCGACGTTGTTTGATGTGATTTGAGACCTCGAACGGGTCCGTATTAGGATATGGAACTTGTTGGTATGCTTGGACGGGGTCCCGGGGGCCCCGGGTGTATTTCGGACAAGTTGCGGATGGTTTTCATAGTTTTGGTCAGGTCTGGTTCTGGTATCTCGCACCTGCGACATCTAGGAGCGGTGGTGTGGCTCCGCTTCTGCGATCATAGAGGCCTGGGATCTAGCTCGCTTCTGCGGATGCTGGCACGCAGGTGCGAAGGCCGCTTTTGCGGTTGAGTGATCGCATATGCGAAGGAGTTCACTTCTGCGCTCCTATTATTGCTTCTGCGCCGCCGTTGGTGCGACAATATTGTCCGCAGATGCGGAGCTAAGTCTGGTAAGTCAAGTTCGCAAATGCGAACGTCTGCCCGTAAATGCGATAGTGCATATGCGCTTATTTGTCCGCAGATGCGGAAGTTCTGGGCAGAGAGTTTATATTCGAGGGTTTTCCCATTTTCTCCATATTTTGAGTTTTAGATCTCGCTTTTGGGAAATTCTTTGTGGAGTTTTCAAGAAAATCGATTGGGTATGAGTTCTTCACCTAGAATTTATTATATTCCATGATTTTATCTTTATTTTTATCATTTAATTTATGTTTTGAGTTGAGGAAAATGGAGGTTTTTTGAAGAAAATTTTCAAAATGAAAAATCATGATTTGAGGGATGAATTGGTATCGGAATTTGATAATTTTAGTATAGTTGAACTCGTATCGGAATGGGTGTTCGGATTTTGTGAGATTTGTCGGGTTTCGAGGTGCGAGCCCGGGGGTCGACTTTGGGGTCAATTTTTAGATTTTGATAAAGATTGAAACTTTATGATCCAGAATAGTTTCTTATGAGTTTTATTTATGCTTTAAAATTATATTGGTTAGATTTGAGACGTCCGGAGGCCATTTCGCCCGAGAAGTTCTTTTTGAATATCAGTCTATCTTCTTTGAGGTAAGTATCTTGACTAACTTCGTGTGGGGGAACTACCCCTTTGAATTTGAGTCTTCTATGCTAATTGTAGTCCGTGTACGCGAGGTGACGAGTACGTGCTCAGACTTATTTATGGAAAATTAGCTTTTTAGTTCTTAGGCCCTTGTATTCACTGAATATGCAGTTGTTCTTATTATGATTACACTTCTTAATTACTAGCTTCACCTCTACCTTCTTAATTAGATATAATTATTTCATGATTCACTCTTATTGCTTATTTAATTCATATGTTCCTTAACTGAAATTGTTACCTTTCTATTGCCATATTATCCTTTCCCTAACTGCTTATCTTTATTTAAAATTATTAGTATCTCTTCTGTAATTGTTTAGCCTTAATTGAGGTTATGGTTATCTTTATGCTGCTTCTTCTTAGCTGAATTTGTTGTATCTCTTTCCTAATTGCCCAACCTTAAAAGAAGTTAGATATCTTATATTTTAGTTGACTTGTCCTTATTTGGAATTAATCGGCTTGTGTTAGCTCCCTCGTTATCGAACTGTATATTGTGGACCGTTGTTACATAATATTTCCTTTCTTGTTGAGCTGTTCTTATTATGACTAGCATTCTCGATTGTGGCTACTCCTTTTGAATTAGTTCCTCCGTTTGTTTGAGTTCTTGAATCTTTGAGTTGACTTATTTGTCGTACCCTTGTATTATTGTCATTGTTGTTGTTGTACTAGTTGTTGTGATGCACGAGCTTTCTGCCGTGCGGTTGTTGTTATTGTGATGCACGAGGTTTCTACCGTGCAGTTGTTGTTATTTTGATGCATGCGATTTCTGCCGTGCGAGAGTTATTAGGTTGCACGAGATTTCTGCCGTGCTATTGTTAATATTGATATTTGTACATGCGGCTTGACAAGGCTTGCTATATATATGTGGGCTGCGCATGTGGAGAGACAAGGTGGGAACATTATTATGCACGTGTGGCGAGACAAGGCAGGCATTCACTGTACTATTGCACACGTGGCGAGACAAGGTGAGCTGTGTCAGGGATTGATTTGTGATGGCCTGTGGGCATTCTTGTTATTGATATTTGTGTAATGGTACACTAACTCGTGTGAGCTTTATCTTGTGAAAAGTTGTGGGAAAATATTCTACGTGCTGTCCATTTCTTTTCCTATACTTACTAGCTGGCATGAACTATGTTAGGACACTTCCACAAGCATACGCGTAGTTAAGCACTCTTATCGGTTAAGAGGTTTCTTGATATTGTTGAGTATAGATGCACACCCTTGCTTACTTGCCTTCTATGTGAGAATGGCTCTATTTGGCACGTGAGTCGTCGGTGCGGTTATAAATTATAATCAGAGTACATGATGCTAAGTGTTAGGGTTCAAGAATTGGGACCCGTGATTTGTGAATATTCTTAGGTTCGGTACCTCGTGGAGGTTATTGGCTAAACCCGGTTTGAAAGCGGTCGTTTTGTTGAGTTGTTATTTGCCTTTCATTTATTTATGATCACCTGATTTAGACCGTGTTTCCATACATCTACTGTGTTATTATTATGGTATTCAGCTGATAGCTGTTGTCTTTCTTTCTTACTGAAATTACCGTATTATTTGTTATTTCGCGTAGTCTTTATGTAGATATCATACTCTGTTGTTCCTATACTTATACTTATTCAGGTTATTTAGTCCAGTAGGTGTCTTGACTGTACCTCATCACTACTCCACTAAGGTTAGTCTTGATACTTGCTAGGTACCGCCGTGGTATACTCATACTGCACTTCTGTATATTTTTGTGCAGATCCAGGTATTTTGAAGTCAGTTGATCATTAGCTAGCTGTGCAGATTGTTATTGTGGAGACTCAAGGTAAACCTGTTGCTGCGCTCGCAGGCTTCAGAGTCACCTTCTGTTTAGTATTCACACTGTTTACTTTATTTCAAATAGTTGTATTTAGAAAATTGTAGCAAACTCTGTAGAGCTTATGACTTGCACTACCGGTTTTGGGAATTGTAAATTTTATAGAGGTTTCTATTTCATAAATTGTTAGATGTTATTTAATTATTGTTGTTATTCGGCTAATGTTAGGCTTACCTAGTCCCTAAGACTA